GATAGAGATAAATGGTCTCTGAAAAATGCTGTTTTGGGTGGAAATTAACACAGCTTTAGTGGTAGCTGATGGATTACAAATACAGGGAACTCAATACAAAAAAGGACCTTAGTTGGGAATCTACTCTCAATCACCTGAATGTGGAAATAAATTCAGTCCTGTCCAGAGTGAAATGAGCAGTTAGGGAAATGGGACTTCGACACTGGAATTTAATGTCCTACTAACTCCAAAGTGTGGAAATGCTGCCTAAAAAGTCCTGAGTCTGGCTACGAATTGAATTTTCATGCAGGTCATAGTCATACTTCTGGGATGAGTCAAAGTACTAGAACCTCAGCTTTGAAGATGCTGAAACCGAAAACAATTGCATCCATTCACCCGTAGCTGGATGTGGTGAATTTCTAGCACATCTTTAAATAAATAGTTTAGGCTTACTGCCCCCACTGTCTTACCACCTACCCCTTCTCCTGAAATCTGGCCTTTATCCCGCCCCTCTTGATCATCATCAGTGGGCTCCTGGTCATCTTTGTGTCCCTAATGCCCAGAAGAGGGCCTGGCAGAGAGTTAGGAAATATTTGCTGAGATGAATCAGTGACTCAACTCAACGGCTTTTCCCCTAAGTTCTGTTCCCTTTGGCCTCGCTGGAGCATGACATTAATATTGCCGTGGCCTAGAAATTCTCTTTCTCATCTTATCCCATGACTTTTGATTTTCTTACCCACCTCTCCCACTCCCACCCCTGCCCCCAACCTTAGGCTGTTCCTTCAGGGATATTTTTCCTGCCCCACTTGTCCCCCCCCCCCCCCCCCCCCCCCCCCGCTCCCTACATGTGGCTCAGGCCAGCAAAGTTCAGGCCTTCACTCTCTCCTCACTCCATACTTCATGACGGCCAGGAAATGATGATGATGATGATATATGCCTATCATAGTAATAACTGTCTCGCGTGTATGAGAGACTTTACTCGTTACCTTATTTAATCCCGCAAAACACTATGATGTAGGTATTATTCCTCTACGATATGGGTGAGAAAACCGAGGCTCAGAAATGCAATGACCCATGCCCAGCCAGCAGCAGAACTGGGTTTTGAGCCCAGTAAGACCTGGGCTCACAACACACAACACACACACACAAATAAATGTCTAAAGTAAAAAAATAAGTAGAAATTAAAATTCAGAAAGAAATGGACTGAGCTGCTTCCCGGCTACATCGATGGCTCTACCCATCTCTCTTCACGTGGTGCTCCTTTCTCCTCCCTCTTGACACTTCCTTGTCGGGGTCCCACCACAACTTCCTGCTCACCTGGTCTAAAACTACTCATTCTCTTTCAGAGTCATGGAAGCTCAAACTCAAGTGAAAGCACTTTTGACTTTTCCTCCTCCCCTTTATTTACAGCCTCTCTTCATCTCTGCTCCTTCCCTCTCCATTTCTTCAGTCACCACTCAAACTCCGGCCCTTGTCACCTCTCCCCTGAAGGCTGCCAGAGTCTCCTAACTGGTCTTTCCATCCCTCACCATCTTCCTTCTGGAATCTATCCTGCAGTGCACCACAAGGAGATTAAGTTTCCTAAAATGAGGCTTTGCATTTGCCATTCCCAACTAGAAACCCGTCAGTGTCTCCTTTCCAGAGATGAAGCCCAGACTCTTCAGCCTGATTTTCAAAGCCCTGAACACTATGGTTCCATCTGGTATCTTCATCTTCTACTTCACACCTGTAGGAATTGTCTGCTTCAGCAGAGCTGGTCTCTTCCATTGTTTAAGTCAGACTGGTCTTAACTAGGGTGATCCTATCATTTATCACCCAAAATAGAACCCCTTTGAAAGTGAAAGGGAGGGCTATTGAGAATTGAGCCAACAAGGCATAAACTGGGATTGTCCTGGATTAACTGGGATTTATGGTCCCCATATTCTTAAACGTTCCCATCTACATACAGGCCACCCAAACTAGCAGCTGATGGAATGCTTCCATAGTCCTTACCAGCCTTTGCTTCCCTAAATTTCCTGTCTAAGTCTGACACCCGGGGTCTTCATCTTTGACAAGCCCCTTCAGACTGATGTCTTCAGGTCAGGTTGCCTGTTAAGCTTTCAGTGTGGCATTCCTGTGACAGTCTCCCCCTCCTCCACCAGCTCCCAGGAGCAAGGCCTGCCCCTCCCAATGACCACTGCTGTCCCCACACCATTACTGCCCTCAATATCTCCCCTTGCCCTGGACACTTGTCCAATGGCTACCCTTCCTGCATTGCCCAGATGTTCCCCCACGCTAGCCGTCATAACGACCCTCTTCTCTGACCTTCTGTAGCCTCTATTATCGTCACCACTTGTTATGCACTCAGCATAAACCCATCAGAAGCACTTGACCTTCTGAAAATGTGTAACATATCCCTAACCAAGGAAACTGGCAACAATGGCCCACCAGCACGTAATCATCTCACTCCCAGCCCCCAACAGGTGCCTGGTTGGGGAGGAGGATGACAGGAATATCTGGTGGATGACGCCTGGGTCACACACAGTCTCTCCCCATTTTCCCATTCTTCTGCCTTGATGCCCCCCCCAAGGAAAGGCATTCTACATACACTCAGCAGCAGAGAAATGCCCACCTCTGATAAACACAGTCCACAACAGCTCCCTGGCAACCATAGCATCTACTCTCATGCTTGTTGCTCTTCAGCAAATGTCAAACCCCCAAAGTTACAGCAAAACCCTTAGAGACACAAAGGTCCTCTAATACACAGGGATGATTAGGTGATTATTTGGCAATACTCAGAAAACTGGGTTCCTCACCACCCTCCAGTTTCCCAAGGGCCAGGGCAGGCCTCCTGCCCCAGCCATGGCCCCTATTGCCTGCCCCCCTGCCGCCTCCACCCCATCACTCACACATGTTCTGGGCCTTCCCTGCTCCTTCCCTCACCGAATTAAGCAGTCACCCTCACCGCTTTTCCTGAAGCTTATCCCCTGGCCTTATTCCCAATGGCCTGATTTCCTTCTGACCCAATAGCACCCAAAGTTCTACCCATTTAACAACTGGTGAGGGAAAAAATATAGGTTAAACAAAATAAATAGTATGACTTCATTTTGTTAAACATTAACAAAATGTTTTGAATTAGACATTTGTATGGGGGAAAGTCCAGCAGATAATACAACAAACGATTAGCAGGGATTTCCTCATGTGTTTAATCCTCATCCTCAACGAAAGTATGTTGCTTGCAGAATACAAATGAATGAAGCAAAAATAGTAAGAGTTGGTGTTTACATGTCGGCTTCTTTGTTGCCCGTGCTAGTGGATGTGGTGCCTTGCCACCTATCGCTGTCCCCACCAGCAGATTAAGAAAAAAATAAACAGGGGCGCCTGGGTGGCTCAGTCGGTTAAGCGTCCGACTTTGGCTCAGGTCATGATCTTGTGGTCTATGAGTTCGAGCCCTGCATCGGGCTCTGTGCTGACAGCTCAGAGCCTGAAGCCTGCTTCGGGTTCTGTGTCTCCCTCTCTCTCTGTCCCTCCCCTGCTCGTGCTCTGTCTCTCTCTCTGTCAAAAATAAATAAACATTTTTAAAAAATGAAAAGAAAAAAGAAAAAAATAAACAGAACCGCTTCGGAGACCAATTCCATCTGTGACGAGTGGAGTTTTCATTCCCATCAGTGTGTACAAACAAGCAAGCAAACCCATTCTATCCTCACCTGAGAAGAACAGGACACCCATGTTTTTGCTTTGTTGCTTTTTTTTTTTTTTAAATTTTTTTTTTCAACGTTTTTATTTATTTTTGAGACAGAGAGAGACAGAGCATGAATGGGGGAAGGGCAGAGAGAGAGGGAGACACAGAATCGGAAACAGGCTCCAGGCTCCGAGCCATCAGCCCAGAGCCCGACGCGGGGCTCGAACTCACGGACCGTGAGATCGTGACCTGGCTGAAGTCGGACGCTTAACCGACTGCGCCACCCAGGCGCCCCTCTTTGTTGCTTTTTCCTTCCACATCCTTAGCTAAGTATCAAAGTGTGCTGGAAAATGTCAATTCTATGTGCAAAATAATAATCATTCACTATGGGAAGGAAGACATACAAGGCCCCTGAAAACCATGGGGGTGTGGGCAGAAGAGAAAACGCAGGATTTAGAGTCAGAAAAATGCAGGTTCCAGGTGTGGTGTGAGTTGAGCCCTTTCCCTTCCTTTGCCTCCAGATTTTTTGCCTCCTAAGTACTGAGTTCAGTTAATGGAACACCTACTGTTTGCCGGGCACTGTTTGTTGGAGGAAGGAAGAAAGAGACCATGCGAGTTTCAGGTGTGTTGCAGACCCACTGGTTGGGGGCGTGAGGGATGTGCTGGCCCGCTCTCCAGGTGCTGAGGAGAACCATCACCCTTCACTGAAGAAATCAGATGCCACCCCACCTTTCCTACCTCCCACCAGGTCACACAATGTGGAGTTGCTCAAGTGGGAAGTCACTCACCCGATGGCAAGTTGGTGCCTGAAATTCTAAGCACTGCCCCTGAAACTTCTTCCCTGGGGTCCGCATTTGAGGCCACTGTTCCTTGCCTCTGACAATGGTGTCTTCCTGCATACAGCTGGGCTTTACACCTAGCGGCCACTTGGGACTGTCACCGAACTGCAGATCTATACTTAGGAGGAAGGCTGCCTACGTAGGGACCACTCAGCAAGCTCGCCCACCGGCAAGTGAGTGTGCAACACATGAGCTGTCCTGAAGTCAGGCCATCCCAAACAGCCTCCGCATTGGCTGAAGACCAGCCCAGTCCTTTTCAAGCGATGTAGTATATAAAGGGACAATTCTATTTACGTAGATTACCATAAATATGCCTTTTGCTGAGGACCCAGTGGGAGAAAATGCCAGCTGCAGCCCTAAATGAAGTCTTCAGAGTTCGCATTCTGACCAAAACTGGGCCAGACACCTGAGCACTTTGTTGAAACTCAAGAGAGAGCAGCTGGGTCCCTGGGGGGCTCCCCTTCCCTCCTCACGGTGCTCAACTTGCCCTTCCTCATGGAACGAGGCAGACGAATACTCACCAACACATCTCTTCCCGTCCTCGGCCAGCATGAAGCCGCTGTAACACTGGCAGACAAAGGAGCCCAGCACATTCACGCAGAGCTGCTCACAGCCGTGGTCCTCTGCCGCACAGAGATCCTGGACTGGGGCAAAGTCACACCGTCAGAAGACACCTCCGTGACCCTCCATCCTCCGCGCGTGGCCAGACAACAAGCACTTGCTAAAATAACCTTCGGAATAACCTTTAACGTATTGAATAACTGTAATCCTACCATCCAGAGGCAACCACGATTAACATTTCAGTGGATTTTTATGTGTAAATAAAAACAGATCTTTCAAAGTTGGAATCATTCACCTCTATTAAATGCATCGAATAATTTCGAATTAACATCAGGTCTGTCTTTTCCTCATGTTCATGAAAGTGCTCTGAAGCATTCCGATGGTTCCCGAGAACTAGAAGTTATCATGAGCAGGCATCTGTACCGGTCAGCACCAAGTACCACTCCTGTTCTTCGAGAACGAAAATGCTTTGTAATCACAGTCCCACAGGTTTACAGGAGATAATCTGCACTGTCGTTGACATTTTGCAGATGGGGAAGCTGAGAGAGAGCACAGTGGGAAGACCTGTCACTCCACCCAAAAAATGGCAGGTCCCAATTCTACATCTGTCTTTTTGGACGTACTTCTCCTCATTCCATTTGTCTACCAGAACAATCTTTGGAAATCCTCCTTGAGCTTCATTTATTGACGCCAGCAACACACGAGGAAAAGGCGAAGCCAAAGGAGGTTAGGTAGAGGTAACAAAGATTACTAGGGATAAATGGATGTATGGTTATTAGTGAGCCTACGTCGGTCAAGTATTTATTATGCGTCCACAAAGTGCTGAGCCCTGGGGTTTCACACAAATGCAATGTAAGAATGCACTCACAGGAATGCATTTGCTGCAATGAAACTAAAAGTATATCAGAGGATGAAAAGGTTCAAGGCATTTTCAATCCATCACTGACTCAGTCTCTCCTTTGCACAAACAGGCTGACCCGATAAACATTACTTCTCAGCTAGGAGAATGCCTTGGTTTCTTAACTAGCTCTTCCAGTGACTTTACCATTAAAGTTGGAGAAAATCAAAGAGCATTAAAGAAATTGAATATATTAAAAAGAGTTTTCTCTGGTTAAAAGTTATCACTATGAAAGCTACAATAAAAACTCAATTAACTAGAAAGCCTGATTGATCCCTGAATCAATCCAATGGCTACACTTCAATGTAATCACCTGTGTCACTGAGTTGTATTATTTATTATGCTTTTAGATAAATATATAAAATTGATAAAAAGATAAAAGCTGATTGATTCATCACCTCTGTTAAATGCATTAAGTAATTTTTTTAAATAAAATCTGCTTCTTAACATTAAAAAAAAGGCTTATGCCTAATATTCCACAAATAAGGACTCGGGCTTTCAAGTGCTAAAAAGAAGTATTTTCATTCTCAAATCAATAAAGTAGATGAAGAAAATTATAGATGCAAATTCTTCTATTACCAGTATATTTTACCTTAGATTTCCAATTGGGAACTCCAATCGAGAGTTCCATTGGATTTAGATAGAAGAAAAACACCAATAACCAGAAAAAACTTCAGCTCATGTAAAAATCATAGTGAATCATTAAAGAATGATAAAACCTACAGTTAAGTTACAAGCCTAAGCTAGAGACCTAAGAAAAATCTGAATCACCCGATACTCTTCATTTATCAATAAATGAAGCACCTACAGTGTCCCAGGCCCTGGGGATACAGTGGTGAACCAAACAGAGGAAGGAGTTCCTGCTGTCACCCAGCTTGTATTCTAAGGGTAACAGGAAGCTCTGGGAAGAGCATTTCTGACTGAAAGAACGGCAAATGCAAAGGTCCTGAGGTAGAATAAACTAGCCCCATCGTCAAGGGTAGACTGGAAAAGGCTGGCAGGTATAGGCGAGAGAATGGAAAACGGGAAAGGTACTATGGGCCGCGGGAGCAGTGTGAGTGAATGTGCAGAAATGAGGAAAGTAGGACAGTTGTGGTAGCTAAATCCCATGCTGAGAATTCCAAGGGAAGTAGCAGGAGGGGGGATCAGAAGGACAACTGACACCAGATGGCAGAGGGCTGGAAGGTAGGCTGAGAAGTCCAAGCCGATTAAGCAGGTGATGGGGACCAGTCAGGGTAAAATCCATCAAAAGAGAGAGAGGGCAATGCCACCTGGGTTGTCCTTTAGAAGGAGGGATCTGGCAGCTTCTTCGGCTCTGGGAAACTTAGAGGACTTCTAGCTGTTAAATAAAATCACTGCTTTGTTTGGGAACAGCAGTAGGTTTTTTTTGTTTGCTTGTTTGTTTGTTTTTTAATTCCATGCCGAAATAGCTCTGGTCTGTCTGCACACGGATGGAAAAATTAACCTCCTGATATGAGGACCTTCGCTTGTTCTTCAGGGCCAGAGTTTTCCGCCTCCCCTATCGGCTGTCAGTGCAGGCCTGCACTCTTCCCCTTGGCATGTATCACAATGTTAATTGCGTAGGCATTTATTTATTTATTTATTTTTAATTTTTATAAAATTTTTTTTAACGTTTATTTATTTTTGAGACAGAGAGAGACAGAGCATGAACGGGGGAGGGTCAGAGAGAGAGGGAGACACAGAATCTGAAACAGGCTCCAGGCTCTGAGCAGTCAGCACAGAGCCCGACGCGGGGCTTGAGCTCACAGACCGCGAGATCATGACCTGAGCCGAAGTCGGACGCTTAACCGACTGAGCCACCCAGGTGCCCCAATTGTGTGGGCATTTAAGTAGCCATGTATTTACTGTTGCCCTTGCTAGATGCTAAGCTCCCTAGTGGGGATGAGACAGTGCCTGCACAAAAGCCTCATGACTGGAAAATGTCACCCCAACACACTGGAACAACCTACCCCCCAAATCCCAAGTCCCTCTCTAAAGTGAGGGGGCATGAGCTTCTTCACCTGGGTCTCCCTTCTCTGCTCTAGCTGCTGCTTTGCCTCCTTTGGTATCTAGCAGGAACCCCACCTAATAGCGGTTACAAAGGAATAGTGGGAGTACAGGTGATTTTTAGGCTCTTATAATGATCTGCTTTCAAGTTTTCTAACAAGAGTTTCTAACAGGAGCTTTTATAATAATGAAAAAAAAAAAAAAACCCAACATGCTACAAAAGAACCCCTCTGAAAGCAGCATTTTGAAAGCAAGGAACCAGGAGCTTGAAGCAACCATCTTTTTTTCCAAAAGACCTCTCCCCAGAGGGTAGGTAGAGAGGCAATGCATATTCCTTTTGGGACAGGGCTGGGACACCCACAGAACGGCCTGTGAATAACTGCAAGATCCAGTCTACAGGAGCAGCAGCGTCCGACCTTGGCTACCCATCAGAACCACCTGGGGACCTTTAGAAAACCCTGATGCCCAGGGCACCCCGCTCCTTAAACCAGACTGGCCAGGGTGGAATGCAGGCAGCAGGGTTGGCGAAAGCTCCCCAAATAACTGCAGCGTGCAGCCGGGTTGAGTGTCATCGAACTGGATACAAAGTCCCTTACAATCATCCGAGTGGAAGGTGCCCAGACCCAGGGCCAGTCTCCCCCCTTTATTAACGGAGACTGTGAGGCTGAGTTTCCTCTTTTAAACCAATCTCAGAATTACCGCTGTCCTTGGTTCCCTCTCCAAAGTGGCTGACAGAATCGCAGACACTACGTGAGGGCACGGAGTGTGGTAGGAACAGGAGGCTTATCACTCACATTCCAGAAGTCCGGCCCCACAAAGAGCAAGCTTGCCAGTTGGCTTCGTGTGTATTGTACTTTCATAATGTTTTTATAATGTTGGGGATTTATGGCCACTGGTGATCTGCACCGTCCCCAGGGAAATCTTTGAGGGATTAACTTAATTCAACAGACAAAGGAATACATGCAGACTAGGCTCTGACAAAACAACATTGTTTTTCTGGCAGTGGTCACTTCCATTTGAAACAAACACAGATATTTTTGAATGACTCCTGATGCTTTTGAAAAACAGTGCTTCTTTTTCTCACAGCCGGAGGGTTTCTCTGAAGGATAATAAAACCACGAGGGATGGGAGAAGCCCTGAATTCAGAGTTCCCATGATCCTTCCAAGCCTTCTCTACCTGGCGACCCCCATCATGGCTCATGACTTCAGTCAAATGTCGCCTCCTCTAAGAAGCCTTCTCCAGGTTGGCTGGGCTTAAAGGCTCCTTCCTCTGGGAGCCACTCCAGCGCTTACGCATTTATCCAACGGTATTGGAAGGACCTGATCACGTCTGCCTGCCCCGCTGGAATGTGAGCTGATCTGACTCACTGATTTCCCAGAGCCTTGCCCACTGTCCTAGCGCGTGTGCTTGGTGCTCCGTAAGTGTTCATCTGCTGAAAGAAGAGTGACAAGGGCCCACACTCCCTGCCTCCCAACAGGGATGCTCCTAGAGTCCTAAAAATACTCTCTTCCATCAGAAACGGGATCCTGGCAGGATGAGTATCATGGGAACAAAATTCCTCCTGAGCCTCTACCTCTCCCTGTCCTCAGAAAGAGGTGTTCCCATACCAGAAGGGGGCCCAGAGTGCAGTGACATCTGGGAGCCAGCCCCCAGCTGCAGATGCCAGTGTGGTCACGACAGCTAAGGAACTGGCGGCCTTGTTATCTGCTGCATCCCTGTACCTAGCACGGTGCCTGGCTCGGTAAAGACTTATGAATGAGAGAATGAACCCATGTCCGTGCTACATAAGCATGGGGTTGTCAGGTATTTCTTCCTCATCAATCTTACCTCGGCTGAAAACTCCGAGAGGGACAGGATTAGCCTGGGAGTTCCTCCAGATGCCTCTATGATACCATGCATTTCACACAGCAGGTGCATAGTGGACATCTGTTGATTGGACTTGACCGCCACCAGCCTGGAGTACTCAGGTGGCTCTTATTTGACTGCTCCCCATTAGAGGTCAAGTTCTCCCTCATGATCTCCACAACCACAATTTAACACTCCACTTACAATGATTACTGAATCCTATTTTCCCTACCGTCTGAGGGCAGGGCTTACTTTGCTCAGCCCTCCAGCTCAAATATCTAGCACGGTGTCTGGCAGATGGTCAATTTTTAAAAATATATTTGAGGGGCACC